GACGGCACCGACGACTTTGCTCTTTGAGGGGCCGTTGGAGCCTTCGGCTGCTGCCGATGTGAGGGTCGAGTTTGTGTCGCCAAAGGTGCCCGTGTAGGGTGGTGGGGAGACGAGACCGGATGGGGTGACGGACAAGCTGGTGAGGGAGAGTCGAGAACTCGTAGTGTCTGTTGAGAGTCTATCCGTTTTGTCAGTTGCTTGTTCATATCCTACTCTATAAATACTTACAAGTTTGACCTATAAAAGGGTCAGTGTGTGGTTATACAAAAATAGTGACTCGACTTACGTAGTTGTCCTTGAAGTCTGTTGGCTTGCCGTGCTAATCGTGGAGAGACTATCAGTCGTCTCTGTAGCTGGATTTGTAGTGGTCGATGACTGCGAGCTTGTGGTCGTAGGGTTCGTCGTTCCAGCCGGGACATAGTCTACCATGGAAATAATCAAACCCTCCGCTCCCAATGGATCCGCCTCAAACGAATAACCATGATTGTTCTGGAGAGGAATGGTGATGGGATAGTTGGGTTCGCTGAGATAAGGCAGTGTCTGCCCATCCATTTTGATGATAAAGGGAGCAAAGGTGTACGTATTTCCGCGTCGGTTGTATCCCATTATGTTGAGGCTGAGTGTACTCGGACCAGACTGGCCGTTTGTGTTGATGTTCCATGTCGCATAGGCGGCTGGAGAGCTCGACCTATGCGAACCATCGTCCAAGGTATCCCACCGGTTCGAAGGCTGCAGACTGAGCGCGACGGGCTCAGCAGATACCAAGTTTGTAAGAAGGAGTAACGAGAGGACGTGTAACAAGAGAGTGTTGATTAGAGGCGGGGACGGCGCTTTCGAGAAGAGGGGAAGGCGCAATGAGTAAACCATTATGGGAGGTTTATGTCGTATACTGTGCGTCCTATACGTGTAATTTGGGGGCTTTATGTGGTACTTTTAGCAGAGTAGAGGCCCTTGAGTAATGAACGGATCCTTGCCAAACGAATGGAGGGGTGGTCGTCCAGATGAACGACCTCAACGACGGTCGGAAGAGAAGATGCGAGCAATGTTTGTTTTTGCTTCTTTTCTGCAACCCAACTCCGATTCTTAACCCTCTGCTTTTGCGTGGACCCAGTGGGGGAGATGGATGGGAGAGGGAGAAACCTGGGTGTGAATGTCGGTCGGGCCAAGGGGGCAGTGACAAAGCAAGCATCGGGGTGAATAGGAGTGGATGAGCTTCCCACGCTGAATCGCTGGATCATTCACGCAGTATCCATAGTGACTTCGCACACCTTGCTTTGTTCTCGACCTATCCTCCAGGCCCCATTTACTGTGACCCTTATTGCGGACGCACTCCTTCAGCAACTTATCATGAGACAATTCGCCGCTCCTCTCAAGGTTTCTGCGTCGTCCAAGTCGGATGCTAACGCGGCTGCATCTGGCAGCAACTTGACCACTCCAGGCGGAGGGGGCTCTGCTTCTTCTCCTCTAGGTCCGACAAAAGTAGAAGATATCACTTCTCCCCATGAACTGACCGCATTCGTACGTGAGGCCCATTGTCACGCTTGGTAGCATCTGATCACGCCATGCAGGTCGAGCAATTGTTGAACCAGATCGAGTCCAAATTCGACGACATGTCTACACAGATTTTAGATAAGAGTAAGCGTTCCGCTTCTATCCGTGTGCCGCCCGTCCTTCGGTCCTTCTCCACACTCTTACTCACATGGCGTGATAGTGAATGCAATGTCTAGTCGGGTCGATACGCTCGAAGCAGCTATCCAGGATCTCATCAATAGCGATGTGCAGCCAGCGACTCCCGGTACACCAAGTGGTCGATGATCCTGTGATGTGACTTGGCACCGGCCCACCTCGCTCCTATAGGCTACTCGACAGGTTTCTTCCTCTAATGAATGTGGATGCACTTCCGATTATCGTCTAGACACGGTATGCTGAACAAATCAAAGTACAGTCCACTGTATTTTACGCTAGTGCCTAATATGTACAAACGAATCTACAAATTATCTACAACAAGGAAAACAAGACTATATGACACGAAATGACGGGAAAACATTGATTTGAGATTGTTAGGGACGCTCATGCGTCCAATTCACTGAGGATTCCAAACATTTGCAACACCTTTTCCGGAGATTGACATACCCCTTTTCCATTTGCCCCACAAAACGTTCCCAACCTACTCCACCCAGACTGCACCCCGGTCGTATAATAGTCCAAGTACGACCTAGCCGTCTTGGTCGTATACCCTCCCTCCTTTTCAATCTTTTTCAACACTTTGGCCGTATCCGACGCACCAAGCGGCACCGTACGCAACCCAAATTCTCTCATCGTCGCCTTCAACATCCCCGCAAACGTCTGAGCGCGGCCATTGACCTTGAGGAGGTGCGGCTCAATGAGGTAACGATACGGGCGCGACACAAACGACACCCTCAAATTTTCTTTGACGGGTTTGGACATGTAGTGTCCGAGATCCAACCCGATTCGAGGCGTCCGATAAATCTTCGGGACCGCCCTGACAGGCTCACCCAGTCGTTGCTGTACCTTTTTAGACGAGTTGGATTGGGCCAAGGGGATGAGAGACAGACGGGAGAGTCGACCCCCTTTTGTTGTGGGGGTGTCGCTGTTGTTGGAAGGGGAGAGGGCAAAGATGTCGCCTTTCCAGTGTTCGTCTACGAGTGTGTTGAGGTCGTCGGCACCTGCTGTCGTCAAGATAAAGTCGACGAGGAGAGAGGGGCCAGAGATGATCACGCCAGTTTTGACGACGCGGATGGATCGGAGGAGGATCCCCCCACGGATGGGCGGTCCAGATTTGGAAGGGGAGGAGGCGGATTCAGAACCGGGTGGGATTACCGGACCACCGAGTGTAAGATCTACTCCTTTGCGTGAACCAACGCGGTAGGCACCGCCTACTGCAGCGCCAATTTCACCTGGGTTGTTGAACTTGGGAGCGCGATGAAAGTACCTGTAAAAGAGAGAACCACGAGGCAGAATATGTATTGCATAGGTCATGTGAGAAGATGTTTCGAGTAATAGAATTGTAGATCTGGCACGCACCAGCAACCAGACCGTACTTGCTCCATGCTCCCATGACAAAACGGATCTTCATGAATATCCGGGCTGATCAAATAAAACTCCATTTCCATAATCTGAAGGTCGGTATGTTCGAGAACTTCCTCGGTCTCCTCCTCTTCATTCGCCCCAGCGCTTGTCTGTTCTTGCTCAGCTTGCACGACCTCGGTCGCCTTCTTTCGACGCGGGTTTTCCTTGCTACGAGACACGCGTAGTCGATACTGACTAAACAACGCTGTGGCAACTTTTTCAAACCGAGCTTTGATCTCGTCTTGGCTTTGCAAATTCGACAAATTCAACAAGTTTTCAATCTTGTCCTCTTCAGAAAGTTCCATCGTAGACATTTCATTCGTGATTTCACCGGTTGTAGTGGGAGGGCCATCTGCGTCCTCACTTTTGCCTGTATTCGTCACCGTCACGGGCTTTGACTCGACGCTTGTTAACGCGCTTGCTGCACTCTTTTGAACGCGCTGCTCGCTGACAGAAGATTTGGATTGAAAGAAGCGGGTTATTTTAGCTGGTGCATTGGATTCGATGGGAGAACCAGGCCGTTTGGGCATAATGTTGGATTCAGAAAAAAAAGGGATGTGGTTTAGAACGAAAGGTTAACGGTTGTTTGGGAATGCCATCATCAACATGTTGACGCCCGTCTACATTACATTGCATGTAAGAAAAGAGTGTAGCCGACATTGTTTAAAGGGAAATTTTTCGTTTTGGAGGTTTGGATGTGGCAACTGTCGAACAGTCTTTTGGGCGGAGTTTGAAGCGTGTTTGCCCTCCTTTCTCCTTCTTCCCCTTACCTCTCACCTCGCCCTTTCTTCCTCTATTCCCTTTTCATCCTCTTCCTTTCTGGTCGTGCGAAATCCAGTAGAGCCCCTGGCAGTAACATGCCATTTCCCCTACCAGGTAAGCGTCATCATTGTTTATCGTTTACAGAGTTGCGGAGGGTTTTCCCGCCATTCTACGGGTTCCAAGTACCCAAGTGCTATCCTATCTCTGCTACTAGATGCTCTTAGGGCTTAATTATAGAGTCATAGCATGCCGTCCAGCCACCACGTTGACATTGGCTGGTGTATCCAAAGTGGAGCCTGAAGGCTTACGACACCCCTGGATAGCTCATCTTCTTCTCTACACACAATTATACACAGTAAGCTAACATAAATGGATGCTCACTTGTGATCCAGCCAACGTATGTTCAGACGACCTCGAGGTCTACATTGCCGATGAGCTGGAACTCGACTTTCCATGGGCAGAAGAACCCTCGTTCGAGTCTTCCTACAGCACCGAATCAGAAAACTCCCATCACGACTCGTCTGAAGATGTTGGGCTGGATACGATAGCCCAAGATCTGTCCTGCTTTGCACTTGATGATTCCGATGGCGGCGGCCGGGATGAAGAGGACAGGGTCGACCCCAGGGAGATTGAGCGACCAAGGGCACCACTATTCAACGGAAATACGGATATCGGTGAAGAGGATGACGAAGAGGATTTTGGCGAACGCGAGAGTTCACGGCCCGATATTTGGATGGACAATGTGCCGTATATCGACGATGCCGAGTTCGAAATGATGGTGTGTGGAGGAAAGGATGAAGGTAGGTGTCTTGTTATTATTGTCTGGGAGGTTCGTTTGGGGCGCAAAGCTGATATATTACTGGAAGATCTAGATCAGCCTTCGAATCAGCACCATCCCTCGGGAAAGGAGACAATTACTAGTTTAAAGAGATCAAACGGAGATGACGGTAAGCCTTCAAAGATATGAACTATGGAGTAGTGATGGCTGATGATCCATTAGACCTCGAGGCATTACTCCAAAAGGTTGCATACGGTCGGTATAACGTGGAAATCCTATTCATCCCTTTTCGAAAGGAATGGAAAGATGCATATGGTGAGGCACTTTTGCACAAGTCAACTCGTTCGGATACTCATTGTGGACACTCGTCATACAGAGAGGATTTCCAAGCAGTCTTCGAGACTCTTTTACAATCCTCAAGTTCTTCTCGACATCGACAGCTCCACTTTCAAGCCACATTCTGGCAATGATGTGCTCGAAAAGTCGACGCGAAAAAGAGGCAAGAGGAAAGAGGGTCTAAGAGTGAGACTGCTCTCGAATTCCTTGCAAAATCGAGCGCTAGAAGAGGGTCACAAAACATACCCTCCATCCTTCTTGACCTCACCGGCCAACACGGTGAGGGCAGTGGAGAAAGTTCACACCGCGAGACCCGTCAGTGGACACGAGCTCAAAATTCTAGAAAGCCTTTATGATCTTGATAGACTGTAAGATACCGTTAGGTTAATCGGATGTTGTACGCTATGCACATGTAATACAGGTAATGTCTGAGTGGGCCTGTCAAAATTTGGCTCGCAGGATGGTGGGTGGTAAGGTGGCGAATCGACGTCAGACCGGCTTCTTGCCGGCGATAACAGGCCGTCGTATAGTTTTCTGACCTATTCCTCTAAAATAAAGCTCAAAGCTTTCTTATTGATATTCATTGAATGTCTTTTGATCCAAACATCAACGCTCCTGGTTTCCTTTTTCCAAAATCCCAGAAATCCACCAGCAACACAACACTAACGACATCTCTCCGTAGACGTCGACTCATAGCGTGTTTACTGCTTGCGCTACCATTGATCCTCATCTCTCTTCTCAAATCATCGGCTGTTACAAATCCAGCTATCTGGAGTCTCACGCCACTCCTCAAATCTATACTCGACACCGACGACATGAGTACCCTTGATACCAATCCTGGATCAAACAACGCAGAAGGATGGCATACGCGTGCTACCGAATCGACTTCCGTTACGGCATCTTCCTTCGACCCCAAGGCAGAAGATCTCCTCGCAACGTTTTTCTATAGCACAAAAGGCTCGGGAGATGGCTTCACGATGGCGTTGATGAAACCTAATATAGCAGTCGATGCCGCTGGAAGAATCCTGACTCTATCCTCTGGCGACTTTGTGGGGTTGCAAGAAGTAGTAGATGCTGTTAAACCTCTACCTCAGACAGACGAGTGGAGAGGGCAATGGAGAATCAAACAAGACAGGACTTGCTTTGGGTTCGATAGGATCCAAATTCCTGGCCAGCCGGAGATAAGTATATACGGATGGGTGAAACCCAAGGAAGGAATGGCTTTGGAGCTCGAGTCACCGGCTAAAGGATTTACGCATCTCCCTCAAGAACTAGGAATGTTGGTGAAATTGGCGAGAGAAGCAAGGGAAGGCTTTACCAGGGATCAACGAGAAGAGAGTGTCGTTCAGAAGATATTAGCATTGTAGTAGTATAGACTTGCGGGCCTAACGATGCTATAAATATACCTAAATTTGTGATCCAAATTTTTACAGGACGAATGCATGTGGCGTATGGTTCTAGGTTATCCAATTAGATAGGGTCCCTCATCGCAGCCAGTAAAGACGAGGCAAAAAGATGGGAAGAAAGACACCGCACAGACGACATCATGGTATATACAGATGGGTCAGGCTTCGAAGGCAATATAGGAGCAGCGGCGGTGCTTTACCGGAACGGCCAAATGTCCCGACACCTCCAATACCATTTAGGCACAGACAAAGAACACACGGTGTACGAAGGAGAACTAGTGGGAATCATATTAGGACTCCACCTCATCAAAGGGATAAAAGGCAGTAGACCCAAAGCAACCGTCAACCTCGACAACCAAGCGGCAATAATATCAACACTCACCAACAAGCCGCAGCCAGGAGCCTATCTGCTCGACGAGGTCAACCGCCTCGCAACGCAGACCCAAGAAATGCCACTCAAGTTTACCTGGATACCGGGCCACTCTGATATCCCTGGAAATGACGAAGCCGATGAACGAGCAAAGGAAGCTGCCCAAGGGACCTCCAGCGAAACCCGTCAATTACCACCACTCCTCCGCAAACCCCTCCCCTTTAGTGTCTCGGCCCTCCGGCAAGACCTACGAGCACGAATAGAAACGAAGCGCAGAGTCCACTGGGCCAAGTCCCCCAGATACTACCGCCTCAACAACATAGACCCTAAGCTCCCATCGTCACACTTCAGGAAGTTAACACGTAACCTATCACGCACAGAAACTAGCATTCTCATACAGTTACGTACAAATCATTTACCTCTGAATGCACATCTGCACCGCATTAAAAAGATCGAGCACCCATTTTGCAGGTACTGCCAAGGCGAAACAATAGAAGATGTTAATCACTTCCTATTTGTATGCCCCCAATATACGACGGCAAGACTCGACCTCCGACGCAAACTCGGGCGCCAAGTCCAACACCTCAAGACCCTCCTAGCCGCCCCAAAGGCCATCAAGCACACGCTCGAGTATATACGGCAAACGAAAAGACTCCAAAACTACATGAGCAGACTTGAAAACAAACAGAGGACAAGCGTGGGCAGGCCAACCAGACCAAACGGAGACCTACGTCAAACATAACTCACCTCATCTTCCA